TCACAAAATTGATGTAAAGGTTAGGGGCGGAAATGTCATTATCAAACTTGATATGAAAAAGGCATTTGATAACCTTGAATGAGCTTATATTCAGGAGGTTTTAAAGAAAATGGGGTTTTCTGCTCAAGCACAAAATCTTCTAATGGCCAACCTCAAATCTACATACTTCTCAGTTTTGATAAATGAAAGCCCTAATGGTATCTTTCATATGAGAAGGAGAGTCAAACAAGGGGACCCTATATCACTCTTATTGTTTATTATTGCAAGTGAAGGACTGTCTAAAGCCCTCAATTATGCTCTAAGCACTTCACACATCAAAAACTACAACACGGGAAGAGACATGCTAATTAGCCACCTAGCATATACAGATGATGTGGTCATTTTCACTAATGGAGAAACCAGGAAGTTACTTAAACTAAATAAGCTTCTTGAAGTATACCTTAACGCTTCAGGGCAGGATATAAATCTAAACAAAAGCAAACTCTATTGTGGTAAAAGACTCACATCCAACTCCATCAGCAATATTGAGAAAGTCCTAAAAATGAAGCATGACAACCTGCCTTTCAAATATCTGGGAGCTCCAATCTGCAAAGGTAAACTCAAGAAGTTAGATTGTGGAGACATTATTCATCACTTCAGCTCTTACACTGAGAGCTAGTACAGCAAGACCCTAAATCAAATGGGTAGGCTTATCCTCATCAAACATGTTCTATCATCTATCCCTTTACACCTAATTGTTGTCCATACCCTCCCAAAGTCATTCATCAACAAGCTACACTCAATGATGAGCAATTATTTTTGGGGCACAACAAATAGAATGGGCAAGCATCACTGGAAGAACTGGGAAGACGCGTGCCTCCCTAAACCAGAAGGAGGATTGGGCCTCAGGGACCTTAATGAACTGCAAGACGCTTACTCAATCAAGCTATGGTGGAATTCCAGATTTCATAATTCTAAATGGGCCCTATTAATGAGAGCTAAATATGGAAATCAAAATTTCACTGAAGAACTCACTGACTCCCCAACTAGAAAGAGAATTTGCAGAATTCATAACACCGCAGAGGAATACCCAGGGGAGAAGAGGACAATGAAGCAATTCCTATATCCATAAAGAAGGCTTTTGAGTATTGTAGACATCATAACAATATACAGTTGAGTGACAAATTCATTTGGAGCAAATTTTTCTATGGAAAGCTCACAATGGCGTTCTACATTTCCCTGAAGCACTTAGAAAAATTGGTTACAACTTGCCAACAATCTCCCCTTTCTGCAAAAAAGAAAAAGTTAGCATGGACCATTGTCTACTTCAATGTACTGAAACTAGAAAAATTTGGGAATGCATGGCTTCAAATTTTGATAGGCCGAATCTCGGAATAGGAATAACACACCAAAAACATACAATGGAATGGAATTTAAGATCTGATAATAACTTTTTGAAAGGTATTCTCAAGATGGTAGTACCTGGCATGATATAGTGGAGCATATGGACACAATATGCATCAATTAACTTTGGAGATTGACATGCTGACATCAACACTACCATCCATTCTCTGAAGAAGACGCTAAACCTTTGGTGCTGGAAATTTAGACACAAAGGATGGAAGATCAAATACAAAGACCTTACAGAACTAAGTTTCCATTCCTTTGCTCTTCATGGAGAATCTGCCCGGTCGGCACACAGATGAGGAAGTAAATTGGGAACGAGAGAAACAGTTGGATTTTCAAAACTTTTTTGGTTAATTAGCAGACTAAGTCTTTTTGTTATTAATAATCTTTTTTCCTACTTTCGGGGCTTCGGTACAGTCCTCCTCGAACGTGTTGTACAATGTTTCTTTTATTTCAAATAAATTCGGTAATCGTTTCCCGGCGTTACCACACCGATTTTGGTGAATGCTACCGGGTAAATGGCCCGTGCAAATAATGACATCCTTTTCATGTTCAAAGATGAATGGGGTTTCCAAAGATTCTTCCTTAAAAGAATTTGGTTTTTTGGAGAGGTGGCTGTGAAAATCTTCAAGTCGCCACAGGACTACAGCATAGACAAGGAGAATCGAAACATCCCTTTATGGGTCACCCTCCACAGACTTCCTCTATATCTTCTTGATCTTGGAGCTCTATACCAACTGTTTTTTCTCCTTGGCACCCCTTTAAAGGTAGACTCAATTAAGTACCTTCCTTCACCACAGATTTGATTCAGCAAGGGCCTGTGTTATTGTTGATATTTCAGCTCCCCTCCCCTCCTCCATCCATGTCAAATTGCACAACCAAGATTTCTTCTTCCCTTGCACTTTTGAGAAAGTTCCATCCTTTTGTCACTTATGCTCTACCTTAGGCCATGGAGCTAATACTTAAGTATTTGTTGTGAGTTTTTAAGTTACTTAAGTATATGTTATGAGTTTTTATGTTATATTATAAGTTCTTTGTTTATATAAGTTATACTTATAAGTTTTTATATTTATTTAATTAAAAGTTTTATAAGTGTTATCATATGTGTAGTAGTTAGTTTTATTTATATCCTATTTGGTGACAATATGTGCGCATGCTAAATTGGTTTTAAAAAGTACAATTTTTCTCTGTGGGGTCAACCCTTACTTGTCCAAGCTATATCGTGGGGGTTAGTTAAGGTTATTTATAATTTTTTAATTGGTTTTGGGCCGTACGACAAGTCTTCAACAAATTCTGGAACCGTTGCCGGCGACCAAATTTGTTGAAGACCCGTCGTGCGGTCTAAAACAATTTAATAATTTATAAATATTCTTAGCTAACCCCCAAGATATAATCAAATATAATCTATAGCTAGGGCAAGTAAGGGTCGATCCCATGGAGAAAGTTTGTACTTTTAAAATCAAATTAACATCGAAACACGTTGTCACTAAATAGAACAAACTGTTGACCCTTGTGTTTTGATAATGACAACTATCTCATGGGCTTGGCACTTTGGATGTTGATCTTCACAATCATGCGTTGGATCTCAAGACAAGTGTGAAGATATCGTGTTTTTGTTTTTTGTTTTGATCTTAGCATTTTTGTTAAAGTGTATGGCACGTTAGTTGTTTTTCCTCTTTAAAAATGTTTTCCAAAAACCCTTTAAATTGTTTTTGAGTCAGTTGCAAAATCACTTTTTCAAAACTATGAAAACTATTCGAATAATTCTTGTTTTATTCGAATAAGTCAGAGTTTTCAGTTCTGTCTTATTCGCATAAATAGAATATTATTCGAATAAGTCCTGAAACTTATTTCTTCAATCCTACAGTGATTTAGTCGAATAAACCTTAATTTATTCGAATAAGTCTGCGTTTTTCGCTCTGTCCTATTCGGATAAATATGATTTTATTCGAATAAGTCGTCAGTTTGAACTCCGGTTTTGTCAGTTTTTAAGGAAGTTTTCCACCCCTATCTTCCATAACTCACTTACAACGGCTCTTTTGCTTGATGAACATTATATATATCCATTCAAACATTTTCTTTTATTAATCCAAGCAATTCAATTCATACTTTTGATCCTTCAACATTACTTCCAAGCAATTCTTCAAGAAATCAATATTTGCTTGAGTTTTGGAGAGTACTAGTGTGCCATACTCTATAAGGTCTTGTATTCTACAACAATCCACTCTTAATTTGAAGAGTATTTCCGCTGTGCACTTTGTTTTGAAATGGTGTGTGAATTGTAAAAACTTGAAGTTGATATAATTCAAGTTTTTGGAGAGAAATCCTAAGTCTTGTGAAATCAAGACTTCGGTGGAAAGGTTAGAGGCTTGCGAATTCAAGTTCTCGAGTTGTAATCGGATTGTCAAACTCCGTTAAGTTTGACGAAGTTAGTGGAATCTCGGGCACGTTTGCTTNCAATCCACTCTTAATTTGAAGAGTATTTCCGCTGTGCACTTTGTTTTGAAATGGTGTGTGAATTGTAAAAACTTGAAGTTGATATAATTCAAGTTTTTGGAGAGAAATCCTAAGTCTTGTGAAATCAAGACTTCGGTGGAAAGGTTAGAGGCTTGCGAATTCAAGTTCTCGAGTTGTAATCGGATTGTCAAACTCCGTTAAGTTTGACGAAGTTAGTGGAATCTCGGGCACGTTTGCTTCGGGGACTGGATGTAGGCATTAGGCCGAACCAGGATACATCGTGTGTTGCTCGTTCTCTTCATCTTTGTGTTCTTGTGGTTGATATACTCCTGCGAATTTTTGTTCTTCCAAAAGTTTTTGATTTTTGAAGAACACCTCTATTCACCCCCGCTCTAGAGGTGCGTAAGTTGTTCAACACAAACTAACTACTACACATATGATAAGACTTATAAAGCTTATAATAGAAATAAAAATTATAAATAACTTATGTAACAAAGAACTTATAATATAACTTATAAACTCATAACAAACACTTAAGTATATAAAAGTTAATAAAGTATAAAAACATATATTAATAACTTATAAACAAGGACTTATAATATAATCTTATTCAATAAAAACTTATACAATTAATTAAAACACGAAGGGGGGGGGGGTGTTGGATAAAAAATAAATATTTTTTGGTTTTTTGATAAAATGGGGGAAACAACGTCAAAAAATAATCAACTTCTCCAAGAAACACCACCAAGATCCCAAAACAAAATGAAAAAAAGAACAAACAAAGCCGAACATTACACGTAGAATAAGCACGTAGACAATATATTACTTACACACTTAAGAATAGAAAATAATTCAAAGGCTCGAGTTGAATCATATCCTTGACCACATATAGATGATCGTCAACTCTCTATAAGGCCCAGAGTCATGAAATCCTCAAGCCTTTTGGATCACTTTGAACCCCAACTCTCTTCAAGCAAATCTTTCTTTCATTCTAACTCCCATGCATAATCTATTCACAAACTGTCAACACATTATGCACTTTAATAAACTTTAACATCTAATGATGAAAATATTTGATGGATCTCTTTGCAATAGTCTATTCACATAAGAAAACATTACATATTTTCAATAAAAAACTTAAGAATTATTTATGTGCTTAAAAAACCTTAAATTTATGAAAATAACAAACAAACGCACCTCACAACAATCACTCAATAACAAATCTTAAGGAAAATGTCCAACTTATGGGGCTAAGAAGTCCATGAACCTTAAAATTTTACAAACACATTACACAAAGAATTACATATGAGTTCGAAATTTATTTAACTATAATATGGAGCTAAAATATATTAAATAAAAGTCAAATTCCACATACTAACCTACTTATGAAATCAAAACAATGCAATTCAACAACAACTAGTATCACACCCCTACGTTGCACGGGCCATTTTTACGTTATTGAATTAAGATCATTTTTCAAGGCTAAAAAATGAGATTTAATAGAATATAGACCTTATATTATTTTAAGTACAAAACATTGATGATTTACAAATTTTGAAATATTTCTTTATATACTACATTATTTGTACAATTTGCGGGAACATTGTCTTCGTTGCATATCAAAATCTTCAACCCACTACAATTATTTACTCTTGAGACTGTAACATACAGTTGTCCATGACTAAACACCGGTTTTCGTAACAATAATCCAACATGTTTCAAAGATTGTCTCTAGCTCTTGTTAAGCGTCAACCGCATGGAATTGTCTTCTTTAAAACTTGAATGTAATTCTTGTATCAGATGATGTTATTGAAAGTCTTGTGATAACGACTTCTTCACCCATGTGGCTTACTGGTAATATCTTTCCTGGTATTGAGTGATTAGCCAACCGGGTTACTATCAACCGTGTACCATTACATAAACTCATTGAATGGTCAATATTTCTCAACAACACAATAGGTGTGCCTACCTTCAAAGTTAACTCATGATTCAATACACCAGAAGCACGAATCTTATTTAACAATTCAGGAGAGTGTAAGTCACTGAAAAAACTTGAAGTGCAATCCGAGTTCTCAACCTGTTAGAACTAAGGTATGTTCGAGATTTGCTGCTTGGATTCATCGCGGTCATATATTCAGTTATGGAATCGACAACATCAAATGTAGGAGCCAAAATTGCACGCTCCTGCAAGTAGCTTAGTTCATTGGCTATAAGTCGAATTCACTATAGTAGCTATGAGATCTTCAAAAGATGGAAGTAACATGTCATAAGGAATTGTTACCTCAACATATCCGTCTTGTTCATCCCATGCGTTCCCGTCGCCAATACTCGCAATCCAATTGCTGAATTCAAATAAGCGATCATAACTACTATGTTTAATTTTATTAATAATGAATCTGTTTAATTTTATATAATAAAAAAGAATGAAAAATTATTCAAATAGCTTTAGAAAAATATTATTTATTTTTCATATTTAAAATCTAATTCGTATAAATGAAAACTTACGATATATTGAAGCTTTTTAAAAAGATTTCTCATAGCAGCCGTTCGCAGACTTTTCACTTCTTAGTGATTACGAAATTTAATTATCTTCTAACATTAAAAAATTTTTTTGCTTACATTGTTCATAGATTTTAGATCACGAATAGAGACTAATATCAAATTATTATGTTTAAACCAATTTTTTTTTGAGAAAAAACAAATACATGAATATATCGAATATATTTTGTCACATACTTGTGGCCCTCCAATGTAACTTTCATTATTTGCTCCGGAGCATGGTTTACCATTCGGGTTTCAAGCGGGGTTCGGCAAACAACTTTCCCGATTGCATCTGAAAGTAGAGAATATAAAGTCAAAAAATAAATAAATGTAATATAAATATGTGTAAATATTTGAGTTATAAAGTGTAAATGACGTTTACCAACTAAAAGGACAGTGTGTCACCAAAGCTCATTTTGTGAATATCTTCAAAACTCCTAAAGTTGTATCAGAAATGGGGAAATCCATTTTCCGATAGCTTTTGAATCTTGGTCTTTCCAAAAAGTTGCAGCATGCAAAGGTGATTCGTAGTCTTTGTGCTTTGGAAATTGCGCAATACCTTGACTTTCATCACTAAATAAAAATTATTTTCTTCCAAAACTTCTTCGAAGGTGCGTATATTATAATCTCTGATTTGAGCATGGATTTGATCGCCCTAACAAGAAATGGAAAAGTTTACATAGAAATAATTGAGAAGTTTTTTTAAAAGATTTATATTTAAGATTTATATTAATGAAGAGCCAACATCTGAGTCGTGAAAAATAACATCCAATGATTCCGGCCCCCGAGCATGGGTAGGGGTGTGATAAACTCTTATTGCTCTCAGTTTCATCATCAACAGTGATGACCTCTCATCAACATTTCTCAAAGCAGTTAAGATTCCCATGTTTCGTAGGAATGGCGGACTCGAAACAAACAGAATAAAAACACACGATGAATAAACTGATTACGAACGGTTTGCAAATGGGTGTATTTATATTATGAAATATTTTTTTAGAAAATAATTGGTAATTGTTCCGTTTTGAAAAAAAAATTAAATATGGTCTTTCCAATTATATTCTCATATTATTTTCTTCCGTTTTGAATAAAAAATAAAATACTAATTAAATAGTAATACGGTCTTTCCATATTATTTTCATAGTATTAAATATTAAATTGTAAACCGTGTTACTAATTAAATAATAATATTAATTGAGGATTTGACCTAAGAAAAAAATTAATTAAATAGTAACACAATCTTTTTTATTTAAGAATTTTTTACTTTCTAATTAATTTTCACAATTACCTTCCGTTTTGAATAATAAATAAAATACTAATTAAATAGTAACACGGTCTTTCCATATTATTTACATAGTACTAAAATATTAAAAAGTAAATCTTAACTAATGGTGGATTTGAAATTACCTTCCGTTTTGAGTAATAAATAAAATACTAATTAAATAGTAACACGGTCTTTCCATATTATTTCCATAGTATTAAAATAGGATTGCCTTAATTAAGTGAAATTTTGCACTAAATAGGACTAAAACATAATGACTTTCCTAATATAGGACTTAAACTTTTTTATTCCCTAAATAGGATTTATTAATGACCTAGTGGAAAGAATAATGTCCTGTAATCATGAACATTTAGTTGAATAATGACTACTTGATAATGACCAAAGGTCCTAGATTGGAAAATAAAAACATATGGTTCTATATTGGGAAAGTCATTATGTTTTAGTTCTATTTAGGTAAATTTCTCCTTAATTAATGACGGATTTGAAATTACCTTCCGTTTTGAATACTAAATAACATACTAATTAAATAGTAACACGATTGTATTATGTCCATAAATTTAATACTACCTCCGTCCCACAAAAAGTTCCCATTTTGACCATAAATTGGTCAAACTGATGCACACTTTGACCCTAAATTAAATATAATCTAAATAAAGAAATGCTAAAAAAATTTGAGATATCAAAACTAGATCCTAAGATGAATCCAATTATATAAAATTTATTCCATTATTTAATATACTTTTCTCACAATTTATAGTCAAAGCGTGTAAATATTTGACTAAATACTATTCAAAATAGGAACTTTTTTGTGGGACGGAGGGAGTAATATTAATGGAAAGAGTGTTTTATACTCCGAGGGTAAATGGAAAGTGTTATTAACTTTTTTTTAATTCAATCACGCTAGAAAATTTTCCCTCTTAGGATTTTTTATATTAACAGTATCTATAGTATTAAAATAGTAAACCTTTATTAATGGCATATTTGAAATTTCTTTTTTTATTATTGAAGAATGTTTGAAAACACGATACTGACCAAAGTGTAAAATTCCTTATAGTATTGTATTTATGAAAATGTGCCACTTATCATTTTTTAAAAATTCCCTATAGTATTGAATTATTTACCAATTTTTTACTTACCAAATAAAATTTGACCTACTTAATGTAATGACCACAACAGTTGGGCGGGAAAGCACCAATTGGGATTCTCCTCTTAAATAAAGTATATTGGATTTAAACAAAAATTGAAAAAAATTAATATGAATCAATTCTCGAGATTTAATATAAACATTAAAATAAACATCCATAAAAGAACACCAACCATTTTTTTTGGAAATTTTGAAATTAACAAAACAAGCAAAAAAAGATGTAAAAATTAAATAAAAACAGAGTAGAATTGGAGGAAAAAATAAAAATTGACAAACAAAGATTACCAATTGTTGAAGGAGATGATGAAAATTGCAGTATTGGAGCTGAATGAACCACCGCCGGTTGCCATCGCCCACCATCCTCCATCGTCGTCGTCGCCGGCCGCCACTATTGCAGCGGCTTGGCTGCTGCTTTATTCCCGTACGACTCCCCTTCCTTGGAGCTTAGACTCATCGCCAATATTTCCTAATCCAATATTATTTGAACAATACAAGAAAGCTCAATTTTATCTGGCCCAAAACATAAATCAGATAAATTAGTCAAGACGGAACCAGAGATATATGGACAGAAGAATATATTTGAAGTGATGTGAAGACATTTGGTGGGACCCGCAGAATACTATCCCATGGAAACCACATGGGCTTCACATGGACAATGTCCCCTTTTGTCTCCGTCAATTATTCTCTTCCCCCCTTTAAATGCAAGCTACGAAGAGCAGGGAAGAGGAGGGCCAAATACTCAACCAATCCCTACTATTATTCTTCATTCTTCTCCTTCTCTTAGCATGGAGCTTCATCAATGGCTCCAAGCTCCTACAGTGATGCATATGTAAATTCCCCCGAGATTAATAAAAGTTCCTCCCCTTTGGCATGACACCGCCTAAAAAGGCCCGTGGTTTTCTCCCGATTTGGGTTTCCACGTATAAATAATTTCTCTCTGCTTTATTTATTTATTTAATTTCCGGATTTCACTATTCGGTGCGGTGCCGACCCGGTACCGATTTCATCGGGTCGACGCCCCGAAAAAGCGGTTTCCATCACTGGCGCCATCCGTGGGACCCGTCACAAAAAGCTTTTGTGCTCCGAGTCCGTAATGGAGAAAAAAAGTGGGTTGAGAAAGTAAAAAAAAGACAAAACAAAAAAAAAGGAGAGAGAGAGGTTGAAGGGAAAAGCCCTACTCTTCTGCATCAAGTTGATTGACCGCCCAGATCTGGAGAAGCCATTTTGAGACATTGGACAACGGCTGGTCCTTTTCGGTGAGCCTTCCAGTGCGGCTCACTTCCGGCGAGAAGTGGGGAGCTCCTCCTGACCTTGGGCGACCATGGAGAGCAGCCACCAGCCCTCGGCAGAGCCACCTTCTCGACAGACGGCAATGGCGGGCCTCCAGCGAGCTCCACTTCTTCCGGCAAGACACGGATAGCGGCGGCGGCCATCCGACGTGCTCCCACTTATTTAGGCGAGCCACGGAGAGCAGCGGCGGCCCTCCGACGAGCTCCCACTTCCTCTGGCGGTCCTCTCCGTCGGTCCGGTCATCCCCGACAAACCTCTGCGGCGAGCCACTCTTTCCGTCGGTCCACAACCAGGTCCAACGTTCCTCCTCCTTCCTCCGGCAAACCATGAAGAACAGCGGGATCTTCTCGGTGGATGGCGAGCTAGAGTCCGGACCACCAGCGAGTTAGTGTGAAGAACAACGGGGATCTTCACGACGAGCAGCGAGCACGTGGTAGGGCTGCCGGCAGTACCCTCCACTAGAGTCGGTGAGCATCCTCCAAGACCGGCGAGCCCTCTAGCGTGCTTCATCTCCAGCAGATCCAGTGGCGAGCCATACCACTAGCAATTGTCCACTCCGGCGAAACTTGGCCCGGAAGAAGCAAGCTCCCACTTCCTCCGGCGAGCCACTGACAGCAGCGGCGGCCCTTCGACGAGCTCCCACTCTTCCGGCGAGCCGCAGATGGCAACGGCGGCGATTGCCCTAGTTCGTCCATCAAGCTCCCTCTGCTCCGGAAAGCCTCATCGACAACAAGCGGGCCTTCATCTTCGACGAGATCCGGCGAGCTCCGACTTCCTCCGGCGAACCACGGACGGAAGTAGCGAGCCCCTCTCTGCAGTCCTCTCTGCGGTCCTCTCCAGTGGTCCTCTCCGCGGTCCTCTCCGGCGGTCCTCTCCGCGGTCCTCTCAAGCGGTCCTCTCCGGCGATCCTCTCCGGCGGTCTTCTCCAACGGTCCTCTTCAGCGAGCCAGGGACGGATCTAGAGCGCTCCAGCTTCAAAGGCCCCAAAAATGGATGTATCTACCCTCAAATAGACCGTTCCAACTTCAAGGATCCATCCAATGGACAGATTTGGCCTCCAGTGGACCGCTCCATCTTCATAGGTCCTTTACATGGACAGATTTGGCCTCCAGTGGACCGCTCTATCTTCATAGGTCCTTCACATGGTAGGATTTGGCCTCTAGTGGACCGCTCCAACTTCATGAGTCCCTCAAATGGACGCATTTGGCCTCTAGTGGACCGCTCCAACTTCATGGGTCCCTCAAATGGACTGATTTTGCCTCAAGTGGACCGCTCCATCCTCATGGCTCCTTCACATGGATAGATTTGACCTCCAGTGGACTGCTCCATCTTCATAGGTCCTTCACATGGACGGATTTGCCCTCTAGTGGACCGCTCCATCTTCATGGGTCCCTCAGATGGACGAATTTGGCCTCCAGTGGACCGCTCCAACTTTATGGGTCCCTCAAATGGACGGATCAAGCCTCAGGTGGTCCGTTTCGAGTTGTATAAGTTGATAAAAGTAATAATGTAAAAGAATAGAAAGCAGAGGTCAGTAATTAGATCAAGTTAAGTGATCGAATTACTGGAGATAGTCATAGACTCCCGTACCGAGGTTGAGGAAAGATAGGATAAGGAAAAGGATTAGGGCTTAAGGATGGCGTGAAGCCCAGCCCATTAAGAACAAGCTACCCAAAAGGAAGGAATATAATCCTATGAAAGAGATTAGAGTAGGCCCCACCTCAATTGGAGGGAGAGGGACGAAGAGAAAGGTGGACGGAGATTTTCTATAATTCAATAAGAGCGGAGTGCCCAACCACCGTCAGATAGATATCGGGTGTGGGTTTAGAGGCTCCCAAAGAATATTGAAAAAAGAGCCCCGAGCAAAAGTCCTCTTCCAAGAGGCAACAAATCCCCGAGAGAAGTCCTCTTTCGAGATACACTAAGTTAAATCCTTACCCACGAGGTAACGAGACTCTCCAAAAAAAAGGTCCTCTTGCCGAGGTTCCAAGAAAAGTTTTATCCCATGAGGCAACCCACCGAGTCATATTTGAATCTGTCTCGTTCCCCGAGACAGACTCAAAACTAGGGGGCATGTGATGGATTAGGGATTTTTCCTAATCCAATATTATTTGAACAATACAAGAAAGCTCAATTTTATCTGGCCCAAAACATAAATCAGATAAATTAGTCAAGACGGAACCAGAGATATATGGACAGAAGAATATATTTGAAGTGATGTGAAGACATTTGGTGGGACCCGCAGAATACTATCCCATGGAAACCACATGGGCTTCACATGGACAATGTCCCCTTTTGTCTCCGTCAATTATTCCCTTCCCCCCTTTAAATGCAAGCTACGAAGAGCAGGGAAGAGGAGGGCCAAATACTCAACCAATCCCTACTATTATTCTTCATTCTTCTCCTTCTCTTAGCATGGAGCTTCATCAATGGCTCCAAGCTCCTACAGTGATGCATATGTAAATTCCCCCGAGATTAATAAAAGTTCCTCCCCTTTGGCATGGCACCGCCTAAAAAGGCCCGTGGTTTTCTCCCGATTTGGGTTTCCACGTATAAATAATTTCTCTCTGCTTTATTTATTTATTTAATTTCCGGATTTCACTATTCGGTGCGGTGCCGACCCGGTACCGATTTCATCGGGTCGACGCCCTGAAAAAGCGGTTTCCATCACAAATGAAAAGTATTAACACAAAATCGACTTATTAAATACCCCCACACTTAAGAGTTGAACATCCTCGTTCAAAAGACCAAAGAGAAAATAGATTTCTTTTTATCACCACCAACAAGAACAAAATACACTTTACACACCACACTTAAAAATAAAGTGAGCTAAAACCCTACAAGGATGAAGAGATATTGATTATTTGGGTTCTAAAAAAATTCTGAAGTTGGCACAAAAAAGTTTGTAAGGGAATCATATGGTTTAAAATGGCTTAATGGAAACTGTAGCAAGGATTGTTTAAAAAGTCTAAAAATAAATTTTAAAAAATCACACAAATTTCTAAAAATAAAATGTTCCTAAAATTGGTTTCTTTTTCAGATTTTAAAGATCACACAAGGTTAATAAAAATAGCATCTAGATAGTATGTGGATGACCAATTTCAGAAAACAAAATACTAAGGATACCTAAAAGGATTGCAAACATTTTAAGGTCATTTTACCAAGAAAAAAGGCATCAAGACTCAAGGTGAGTATATAAAAGTAACATTTGTCATCTTTCAGAACAAAGCTCAAAGAAGAAAAAAATGATGTTTATGGGTCAATTTTAAAGATAATGCTCTGAATAAGAAGATACGCAACTAAGAATGGTAAAATATTTAGACCCAAAACTTATCAAAAAATATATTTTTGCCCAAAAATATACTTCTCAAGCAACAGAATAAAAATGATAATATCCCCCCACACTTAAATTATGCATAGTCCTCGATGCATTTATATATGATATAGAAATGACAATATGAAGTAATCACAGACTTAGCGAAGAAAGAAATGGATGTGGAGTAATGCAACTAAAAAGTATACGCGGCATCAATTCATCACTCCAATCTTTATCATGCTTCTTTGGACCTAAAAATCTGCAAAGACAAGAATAAGACCAAGTTTTTAGCATTAAAGAACAAAAAATCAGATTTGAAAGAATGCAAAATTTTTTCCATTTCAGCACATATAAGCTGTGAAAAGTGTAAAATTTTCATTTTACACTAAAAAACAGCTTACAATGTACATATTTTTCAATTTATAAGCCCAAAAATAGCTTTTCAAAATACACAATTTTTTCATTAATGCCCAAAACTTAGCCTTAAAAGGGCAGAATTTTTAGATTTTCAGAACAAATGTAAACACCCAAGGCTTGAGAAAATTTAAAATTGACAGTATACACATACCCGAGCACAAAGAACTCCTATTTCAAATCAGATTTTTTACACGTTACTGTGCAGATTTTATTCCAAACAAAAATGCTCCAACATATGACTTACCAAATCCTGCAAAAAGCTCTCAAACTAGATGGTTAGAAGTATAAATGAAATAAACAATAAACAATTTTAAGCTCATCAAGATATATATATATATATATATATATATATAAAATTTATATATATATTTGTGCTTTTCAAAAACTAAATGAAAGAGAAAAAGGAAAAAAATATCCTATAATTACTACAAATACCACTACATCGATACGGAAGAAAAACATTACAAGAACAGTAAGTTGGTAGTTAAAAGAAAGAAATAGAAAATCAAATTAATGACCACAAGGGGAAAAAAATTAAGCACAATAAGTTAAAGAAGTTAAAGTTAGAAGTAAGCATAAGAAATTCAAAGAAAAATTAAAAAATGCTATAAAAGTAAGTGGGTCATGTTAAAAAATAGAAAAAGGAAAACAAATGCAACCAACAACTATAAGAGAAAAAAAAGTGCAACAAAAGTTAGGGCACCAAAAAAAGTTTATAAAAAATGTTATTAAAATATCTGGGTTGCCTCTCGTAAGTCGCCTGATTTAACGTCTTTGGCTAGACACAGCTTACTACTTGACAATACATATTCACTTAAGTCATCAAGTAGTAAAGTAAATGTGTTTCTTTAAAACATTCAAATGAGTAAAATCGAAATAAGCATTCTTATTTCAGCTTTGGATGGTAGTTCCTAAACCAAGATTATCACTATGTGAAGCAAAATCATATCCTAAGTGTAAATTTAAAGCTTCAAATGAAGTTCATGAAACAAATTTTTCCATACTTTTACTCTTTCACATCAAAACTCAACATATAAGGTTCTAAAATCAACTTGTAAAACATGTTAAATGCTCCATTATCAATTGCTATGCAAATTTTGAACAATCAAACTTCAAAAATCAGCATATAGGCACCTTAGGAACAAAAAACCAGCATGAAAATCAAGCAAAAATGTTTCAGATTTTTCAACAGAAACAACAATGTAGGTTGAATTTCATCAAATTCAGCTTTAAAACTCACCATATGAACATCATGTTATGCTTCTATATGTTGTCCCTAAGAAAAATAAAGCAATGAAAGTTCTTATTCAAAAAACTTGACAGTCAAAGGGACAAAAATAACATATAAAAAAGTGCAGAATCAGCAAGGAAGTATCATATTTCTTTGACATAACAGCAACTAGCTAATTCATTCAAACTCAGTGTTTAAAGCAATTTGAGAGCAGCATTGAAGAGTCGTGCTAAATGTTTCGAACTTAGTTCAGATTTTTCAAAAGAATGAGCACTTCAAATTAATATTTTTCTTCAAATCCGCATATTTGATCAGTTGCCACAAAATTTAGCAAGCCAAAGTTGATGAATTATCATTCAAATTGCAGATGAACAAAGAAAGGTCAAATTTTCAGCATGAAAGCATTTTAAGAATGAAAAACACATGCTGGATGCATCAAATTTTGGAACAAAACAAACTTGATATTATTCAAATGCAACTTGTATGGTTAAAAGAACTGAAATCAGCAAGTAAAGAGTGCATAAAAAAGTCTCAAAATGTAGCTTTTATGAAAAATTGGCCAAAAGTTTCACAAAAATAGGAAATGGAACACAAATTCAGCAGTAAGGACAATTCAAACATGCTGATTCCAGTTTTTTCAAGCATGAAGAAACCTCAATTCTATGAATTTAACATGTGAAAAGAGGTTACTTCTACAACATACTTTCTATTAGACAAAGAATTAATAACACAATTGCATATTAAATTGATTTTTTTTACAATACTTTCCCTGTCAATGGTGCCAGTACTGATTAGTTATTTGGTGGCCTAGTCTATTTGGCCAACCCATTGGTTTCTGTATATGGTTTAGGCCAATATTCCTAACCCTAATTTCCCTTATTTATACCTTCTCCTAGACGAGGGGGAGGGAGACTACACACATACTACACATTCACTACTACACACAATACATTCATCTTTTGATCATCCTCTTCTCTAGTCACACACACAATTTTTCTTCATTCAATCTTGTAAGTTTGTGAGGGTGCAGCGGAAATCACGAGTTGAAAGCTTTGCAAACAAATCAAACAACTATGCTGTAGAGAAGATACTACAGCACTGTCACAGTAACAGATGACAGACAAAGTGCTATAATATCTTCTCTCTCACAAGCACACACGCAGAATATGAAGTAAAAGCAGTAAAGAGTGCACAAGAATTGTTTACACAGTTCGGAGCAACTCTCCTACGTCTGTGGGGCTCACGCCCGTGTAACAGCCCTTTCACTAAATCATCGTATGAATTACACAATTAATCACAATAGAATCTTCTATTGTATTGATCTGTCTACTTACGAATGACTTGACGACAAAATTTTTCAGCATCTATCTCCACAACTTGTTACACCTTCCCCAAGATGTTCTTCAAGGACGTAGATTCGAGTACACCTTCAAACAAAGATTCTGCCTTTATCTATAAAAATATACAGGCTTATCCAAAGCTCATAAATCGAGATTGAATCATTGTAATTTGATCTCCACCGTTCAAATTGAAGCTCCATGACTCCTTAGACTCCTCCTAAAATGTTAGCACGATAGGATAAGATTTGGTACTTCGATCATTGACAAAACTAGAGTTGCATTTTCTGCTAGTGACAATATGTAGATCGTAACTTCGATAACAGAAGATATTTAACTTATACTGACGTGAATATTGAACAGATTGAAGCCCTGTGTGTTGGGAACACTCTCTGAAAATTTTAGCAAAATCCAACGGTCGGATCTCTAGCGATGATCAAACGTGCAGGCTGTCCAGAAAATTTACACTGTCAAAATCTACACCTTCTTCCTTTTCTTTTGATAAGATCTACTTTTGTTCTTTTATATTCTCGCACACCAAAAACGTAAGGCGAAGATAATATATGGAATATAATAGATTTGTTATTGTGTACTTAAGACTCTCAATCATGGCTTCCTCCTCAAAAATAGTAAATCAAGTAGGATTAAAATTCTTTTTTCAAGCTCTTTTCTCTTTCTCTTTCTACACATGCTAGGACTCTATGTCTAAATAAAACATCTAAAATAATTCTAGCTAAATCAATTCATTTGTCAAAAAATAATACCAACATAATATGGAACTAACAAATCCTTGCTCAATGGAGTCTTGATCTAGGCACCGTAGACCCAAGATTCCATCACTACTTTCTTTTCTTTATTCAAGACATATCAAGTTCAATATATTCTTTAATGTGTTATTCAAGAATTAGTCATGATCTATCATGTTTATTGTCCCTCCTAGAAACAAGAAATTTTTTAGAGCTTTCAATCTTTTTAACAAATCTAGGCATGCATTAGTGAAAAAATCTTAGTAGAGAGTAGCATGTCATCTAGGAGTGTTCAATGTATGTATGTATGTATTAATAAAATAGTTATGCGTTTAGTCTTTTGTAGACATAATGTTTGCATCTTTATATATAGGCTTTAGCCTTCTTTGGAAATATGCAGGGATTATATAGCTCTTACACAATTTTTAAGAGTAATGATAATTAATACACATCATTCGTCATATAAAGTATTGGATAAAAACAAAAATGACTATTCAAAAATAGGGATATCAAAAGGTTTGAAACAAAAAATTAAATAAGTGTGAAACCATGTCTGGAATAAAGTCGTTAAAACATGTTTAACAGTTGATAGTTCTCTATGAGGTGAGACTTGTCTAGGTGAGCATCTACCGACATGGCATAGATTGATGAATCAGGGATATCAATGAAGTTTGTCTCGATGTGTTTTCCTTTGTCATTTTCTTTGATCATTCATCGATACACTTCCAGATTATTTCATGCTAATAACGTGTTATAGAACAAATATAAGAGAATAGATTTACTAATAGATATATACATATACAATGAAAGGAAACCTTTTCTTGAATCATCTTTTTATATATAAAGGCAAAGGGGAAACATTAATAGTGTTTTTTCCCGCCTAAGTTTTTTGGTTCCATATTCGGTGAAAATCCTTGATCATTCGGGTATGGGCGGGGTTGGTTAAATAAAATGGATAATTTTATAGGAGGCCGTGAAAACATTATGGATTTTACACTGGGTCGTGTGTTTAGGCAGCCTTTGGGTGGTGTGCTTTATGAGGTAGTTAAACAACCTACTTTATAGGTAGATGTGATATTAATTATTTTGCGTGAGAGAATGTGTGATGACAGATAGGCTTGGCCCTTGGGTATTGTAAAAGCAACATTTTGCTTTATAAATCAAAATGGCGGCTAGGTCATGGCATTGGGTTGGATGGACAGTCAACTTTATGGGGTAACGTGAGGACATAATGGTCTTTGCACGGGGGCGTGTGTATTGGTGGCTAGACTTTGCTTTTTACAACTGGAAGCAATAAATACCTAAACCAGCCACCACATTAAATCATGCAGTGGTAGGGTAAGAGAGCTTAGTCTACACCCATTTTGAGGCATGGCCATGATTAATTATATCGTATAAAAGCATACACAAACAAAACTTATCGAAATACTAAAATAGTAAAGAAAATGGTAATGTGCGGAGAGAGGAAGTATATGATTACATAAATACCTACTCTGTTAGGTTTTTTAGAAATAATTAATTTCATTTAATGTAAAAATATCTATCTTCTGCATGAGTGCATTAAAACATAAATATTCACAATGATTTTTTATATACTAAGTTAGCACTTAAGAATTCACGAGTCTAACATTTTATCTTTATACTATATTGCCAAAGTAATTAATTTGTATGTGTGTTTTTTCACAACATATATATATATATATATATATATATATATATATATATATATATATATATATATATATATAGATAATTTTTTTGTCTGTGTATAGCACGAGTGCAGAATCTAGTATAGTCAGTGCTACAACGGACAATAAAGGAAATCTATTGTCCGTGTATAGCACGAGTACAGAATCTAGTATAGGGGGTGTATTCAATTAGAATTTTATTGGATTGTTTTAGATTTCAAAAAGATAATGGATTTCAAAAATTTGTAGAATTCATGTAGAGTTTGGTTGATTTTTTTGTAGAATCCATGTAGAGTTTGAAAAATATGTGTGTAGAATTTTTACACCTTCTCCGTTAGGTCACTGACTTTAATTTCCTTGAGGAGGAGTTTCAGAAACGCGGACACCTTTTTACCTGAAGGATGCTCGTCGCTAGTGAGGCGACCTCAACGCACCCAGACTTCGTCGGAAAAGACGCAAGAATCCGGCAGATCAAAGGTGGCGACTTCCAGTCAGCGGAGCACCATTTTCTGGCCACCACATGCAGCGGTGAAGTCTCAAAATGCCCCCAAATTGTTCCTCACAGTCATACGACTCCAACGCCACCAGCCATAGCAAATTTGGTTACTGGAATCAGCAGATCGGTCCTGCAATCCGACTCGGCGGTTTCTAGCGGGTCTGGGCGGATTCCGGCCACCTCCGGCCATTTGGACATCGTGCATCAATCAAAAAATGTTCCTGCCATCTCAGACATCACCTCCGGATTGATGGTGAATTGCAAAGTTTCCAAATTTCGGATTTTAGGGTTTTCCCGATCACAAAATCCCCTATTCGAAGAGTTGCAGACCAAATTGGGACAAAGTACCTGGATAATTGTATTCCTCATGCAAAAACGGTTCGAACAGAGTTGCCATCATCCGATTCTTCTCCGATCAATTTTGCGTGCAAAATAGGTTTGAAGTGCTGGGATTGTGAGAAGAGATTTCTATGAGTGAAATTTAAGCATTTTTGAGTAAAAATCCAACAAAATCCATAGAGTATTAAAACTCATAGATTTTTGAATACTTCAATATTTTTAAAGACTTTGAAAAATCCCATTAAATACTTCAAGATTTCTAAAGACTTTTAAAAATTCAAATTAAATACATTCAAATTTTAAAAATCTAAAAAAATCCAACAAACTCTCAATTCAATACTCCCGTAGTTTAAGAGGAGAAATTTATATGGGCCTGAAGAGTGTTGAGATTTGAGATGAAATCTCCAACCTTAAATACGGGGTTTTTTCTTTTCTCAATACGGGCTTTTAATTTTTAATTTTCACAGAGAGGCCCAATATGATAAAATAAAATAAAAACTACCCGTCCCAGGAATCTCGACAAAACTAACAGGTTCCACGACATTCTGTTTTGTCAAACACAGCTGCGAACCTGCCTTTGAACTCCCCTCTTCTAAATAAAAACCCTAGCTTTTTCATCTCTGCCCCCTTCAGGCGGCGGCGACTCTCTCTCTCCCCCCCCCCAAACAACGTTTTCCTCCCTGCTCCCCCTTCAGGCTCGGAGCGAAGAAGAGGTGGCCATTCCTGTTCTCTTTTTATTTTTCAATTTCTCCGGCGCATTCTTGATTTTTAGTTCGATTTTTGTTGTCTTGGAACTTAGCCTTAATTATTTTCCTGGAGCTGATCTTCTTCTTGTAGAGTAATTTGTTTCATATTTCTTGGCAATATTATTCTTAAGCTTGGGTGAAAAAAAACTGTTTCTTTGACGATGGTGTACCCTAATCTTGAACCTATAATGTTACTGTGATTTTTTCAAGATTTGGGTTTTTATTTGCTGCATCAGTACGTTACTCTAAAGTTTTTGTTTTGGAAGCATGTTTTCCATCTTTAACTGTTTCACTGTACGCCTTGATTGATGTTATTTTAATTGATTGGGGTTTTCTGAGGCTGTTTTCTGAAGAGTTTCTTTTTTTTGGCTAGAGTTACTGCTTGGTTTGTCGGCACTTATCAAGGCGTTGGGGGTGTTGTGTTTTCTCCGTTGTAAATTAATGGCTGTCAGGGAGACATTGCTTCTCATAACATATGGGGAAGACCTTGTTAATGGAGAACCCATCTTTGTTGTGTCAAACTGTCTCCCGATTAAAGCTCACAGATTTGAGCCTGCTGGGCATTCTTTTCACTCGGCTGCACTAAGGTTGTCTGGGTACCTTGAGGAGGAAAATGTTGAAGATGACAAGGCGGGTGTGCCCGCGGATAAGGAACAGGCTCACATGTATGCATCTGAATCGTACAGTAGTAAGAGTAAAAAGAAATCTTCCGGTGGGGCAAAGCAGCAGGATCACTATGCTCTGTTGGGGCTTGCCCATTTGAGATATCTTGCTACCGAGGATCAGATAAAAAAGAGCTACCGTGATGCTGCGCTGAAACATCACCCGGACAAGCTGGCTTCTTTACTTCTTGCTGAAGTAACTGAGGCTGCAAAGGAGGCCAAGAAAGAAGAAATCGAGACCCGTTTCAAGGCAATTCAAGAAGCGTATGAAGTTTTGATTGACCCAGTTAAAAGGAGAGTTTTTGATTCCACTGATGAATTCGATGATGAAGTTCCAACAGATTGTGCCCCGCAGGATTTCTACAAGGTTTTCGGACCTGCCTTTTTTAGGAACGGTCGCTGGTCTGTCAACCAACCAGTTCCTTCCTTGGGAAAGGAAGACACCCCATTTGAAGAAGTGAATAAGTTTTATGACTTCTGGTACAGCTTTAAATCATGGCGGGAGTTTCCGCATGAAGACGATCATGATGTCGAACAGGCTGAATCTCGTGATCATAAAAGATGGATGGAAAGGCAAAATGCGAAGCTGTCAGAGAAAGCCCGGAAGGAGGAATATGCAAGGCTACGCATGCTTGTTGATAATGCCTATAAAAAAGACCCCAGGATCATGAAAATGAAGGAGGAGCAGAAGGCTGAGAAGCGGCGGAAGAAGGAGGCAAAGTTTCAAGCAAAGAAACTACAGGAGGAAGAAGCAGCTAGAATTGCAGAAGAGGAGAGACGTAGAAAAGAGGAAGCAGAAAGAAGTGCTGCTGAAGCTGCTTTGCAGCAGAAGAAGTTGAGAGAGAAAGAGAAGAAAATGATGCGCAAAGAGCGGGCCCGTTTGCGCACTATTTCAGCCTCTATACTTGCTGAGCACTCAGTTGGCCTTACAAACGACGACATAGAGCATCTATGCACGACCCTTAATTTTGATCAGCTGAAGAACTTGTGCGATAGTATTGAGGGAGCAGAAGGGATTGCAAAACTAGAGCTTCTCAGGATGGCGATGGGACATGATCCGGACACAGAGGAGAGGCAAAATGAGAAGAGAAACATTCAACAAAATGGCAGCACTTCATCAGTGACTAATGGACATAACCCGTTCTGCAGCAACGAGAGAAATGAGAGGGAATGGAGCAAAGAAGAAATTGATCTTTTGAGGAAGGGAGTACAAAAATATCCCAAAGGAACATCCCTCAGATGGGAAGTTATCTCGGAGTATGTTGGTACGGGAAGGACAGTTGATGAGATTCTGAAGGCAACAAAAACAGTTCTTCTCCAGAAGCCGGACTCTGCCAAAGCTTTTGACTCTTTTCTTGATAGGAGAAAGGCAGCACCGCCAATTGCATCTCCTCTTTCAATGAGGGAGGGTGCAGAGGCAACGGCATCAAATGTCAACAATTTGTGTGAAAGCAAGCTAGGCGATCCCACCAGCCAAACCACAGGCTCTTGCAAAAACCCAAATGGGGATGATAATCATGATATTGCTGCTGCTGGAAATGTGACCGAAGGAGGAGATGTATGGTCGCCTGTTCAAGAACGGGCTTTGGTTCAAGCTCTCAAAACCTTTCCAAAGGATGCCAGCCAGCGCTGGGAACGGGTGGCAGCTGCTGTTCCTGGTAAAACTGTTAACCAGTGCAAAAAGAAATTTGCATCTCTGAAAGAGAGTTTCAGGAACAAGAAAACTACAGCATAATGTTGTTACTCTTATAGAAGATGCAGTGGGTGGTGTGAATTGGGTGACTCAAAACTTATCCAGTTTTGGGTCTCATTCTTTTCACTTTGATTTTGCAGAAGCACCTCCATGATAAGTTTCATCTCATTTTTATCATCTCATCGCATTAATTCTTGTTGAGCTATAATTTTTGTTTTCTTCTTATTTAAGTAGCCGAGTCTCATTGCGAAACACAAGTATAATTGAATAGAATGGATTTGAGGTAAACTTTTTCTTTTTGCTATCAGTCATGTGTTAGTGTTATTTAAACTGTTGTGCACAAAGTGAAGTCACCTAGTATCTGATGTTTTAAGCTGATGAATTTGTTATGCCCCATTTTGGGCTTCTTGAGTTGCAGATATTATTTCTAATGGTCTCATAACATAAACTTGCCTGCATGGGTTTGCTTCAAATTTTCCTTGATTGCATTGAAATTATTATCATGGGTGGGAAATATTTTAGTGGCTCTTTTCTTTTAGCATCATACTGGAGCCAGTTGGACTTGGATAAGTGGAAGCTTGCCTCAAGAGTCCTTTGCAACAGATTTTGGGTGTTCAATTGGAAGGGATGTGTGAGTGGGTTGAGGTCAGGATGGGCTGGGCTGGGGGTATACCGGGGGTTAAGAGCTAAGAACTGTCAATTTTACGAGTGGAGTTTGTAGGTATTCCAAATGAATTGGTTTCGTGATTTGTGTCATTTTAGATGTCCTGAATTGCCGGGGTTGGGTTTGAGCCGAGTCAAGGTGTGGGGATTCACTAATGAGGTTAGTGAATGTAGGAATCATCAAACTTTTGAGCTATTAACTCAAGTTACACTGTTGAGTGAATTGCCTCATTATTTCATTTCTTAATGGATGAAATTATATTGAATGGAAAGCAAGTGAAATTTTTTTGGACTTTCTCTCATAAGTACTTCCTTTTTTCCAAGAAAATATGTATTAGGTTTGGAAGCATTTGAATTGCTTACCACATTCATATGAAGATTCATCTAAAATGACCTAGAATTTAGGTCCATTGTAACATTTGGCCTCCTCCAAGCCTTGAAAATGTTGAGAATTATTAAATAAGAGCATCTCTAATGGGTAATCTAAAATACTCCTGTCCCAAAATATTTTATGCTTTATACAAAACTAAATTTATTTTATTTGATAAACATTTTATTTCATCAAATAATTAATCAAAACTTACAAACAAATAAAAGTTTTCGTGAGTTTTGAATAATTAAAGGTGTGAATTTCTTGGGGGGGGGGGGGGGGGG